TTGTGCAGCAAACAAATTAATTTGAGTTAAGTGTATTTAGAGTGTATTTACTCTACACGTTAACGATCCGGTAATTTGTCAATCAAAATCCACAAGTCTTTAAACCAGCAATTATGCTAAAGTCCAATGAACTTGTATACGCTTCGGTGACGACGGCTAGTCGCGGTATTCCGAACAATGGTGGACGGCATTAGGTAGTAATTACCAAAATAACGAGTGTACCATAACGGATGTTTGCTTCGGCTGTGGTACCATCATTAAACACTATAATTGCCTGCATCCTGTGTGCGTTTCCGTTATCCTACCACTTCTAAGATATCGTTTCGAGCTGAGAACGCGAAAGAATTTCTTGCCGATCCCCGCGCGCTGGCCCGCCTCTTTTCTTCTCGATGAATATTGCATTCGACAACTTGTCTCTCGCGCGGTATATTTTTTCTCTCTCTCTCTCTCATAATACTTTTATGAATTTTTTAAATTTATAATGGTGTAACTGAAGAATATAATCTCATATGTTTCTCGCACAAAGATAAAATTCACGTCAAACTGATAGTTAACTATTATATAGAATCTTATAAACAGAAAATTCACGACACTATCCATATTTTAAATATACTGCAATTGTAATTGTTTAAAAAATGCCACATTAAATTTATGCTTTAAGATCTCTGTAAAACGAACGCAACAAATAATAGTTCAATTCACAGTACTCTGAGTTTGAAATCCAACAGACACAATCGCCGTAACTGCAAATAATTTCTCTAACGACATATGCAAATTCACCATGCATTTCTATCCCCATCGTACTCAAGTCGATACTTCAAGTGGTTACGCGCAGGAGGCACGTTCGTTTATTAGACATTCCTCCGTTACCGGCACATCCGACAAACGTCGTCCCTCTCGCGTACTGCCGGGTGTGTGGACGGTGTGCGCCTAATCGGGTGTGAACGCGCCCTTGTGGGGTGGCGCGCGCGGGCAGCCCCGAGATATTGCAGGTTGTTTAATTTCGCGTGCCCGGTGCTTTCTCGGCCGCCCCTTTGTTTCGAGAATGGTTCAATTTAAATCGGACCGGTCGGTCGGTCGCGCAGTTCTGACCGTATATCGTGCCCATGGAGGGAGCGGGGTTGAGGCGCCGATCTGGTTTATTAATTTAGGAGCGGGCGTCGGGGCGGGAAAAAGAGCGGCTTCCAGAAAGAGCCCGCGGTCCGATATCGGTTCTCGATTTCAGGAATCCCTCCCGGACACGATCCCGCAGAATACTCGTTCGCCGAATTCGCGCGAATTAATTGCTCGACCCATCTGAGATCCCGTTTGACTGCCGAAGCGTTCGATATATTTCCAGAGGGGCGAGAGAAGAGAAGAGAGAAGATCCCGTCCTTGCGTCGCGGGCCTTTGTTGCGTGTGATTTCCGATCGGAACGATTTATCTACGATTTACGGTTACCCCGTGTTTAGACCGCGACAGAGTTACTGGGTTCACTAGTGTTAGAACTACATGCTATGGTAGAAATTCGCAGTTGCCATTCAACTATACTTTTATTTATTTTATGAACGTAATTTAAGAAACAAATTTTTTAATTCAAAAAAATTATTGATAAATGTCTCTTTCATATTTTGTAATAATTAATGATTCATAATTAATATGAATCTAATCATATTCAGATAGAATATACTTATAAAAATAACATTACTTTAATAATTATATACTGTGCATAATTATATTATGCGTAATCATGTGCAAATTTTTAATTAAAGAGAATAAAATTTTATACAATACTATTGGTTCGGTCATTAATATTATTCGAAAAAAAATAAATAAATTCGACAATGCTAAAAATATAGCTGTTATTGGGAATTGTAATTAATTAAGCGGCAAGTGCTAAGGGTACGCCGTAGAAAAAGGATCCGACCCGATGTCGCAAGATTTCTTTGGAATAGTATCCTTCCGCGAAGCTTTGTTTTAATTAATTCGGGCACAACAAACTTTCTGGGTTGCGAAATCTTTTGGTATGCTAGTCGGCACTCTTCTCTTAGCTATTTGGAATAAATAAAACGAAGAGAAGAAAAGTCTTTACATATATAAAATAAAATAAATATCAAAACAGGATAGATAAAAAAATAAAAATAGTTGATTCATTAATATTCCACTCGAAAGAATATTGTGTACATGAATCACATTTTCTCATGTCAATACATATTTAACATTGAGTAAACTTGCAGAAAATATTTAAGCATTTAGAATGCATGTTAACTTGTGCTAAATTAACTTGTACTGACGCTAATTTCAACAATCACTTCATTCTTTGGATAATTTAACAATAAAGAAATCAATTCTGGCAAATTAAGGTGCGCGACTTAATACAACACGGCGAAAATACTCCGACGCTCAATAAGTTAACTTTATCGCGCGCATTGCACATGTTACAAGGTTGCATCTGCGAGAGTGATTTATCCTTAATGATAATACCGCACCTGGTTTCGAGCGATCAACGAGGAATGCGCATATAAGCCCATAAAGTCATGAGGCGGGCGAGTCAAAAACGCGCGGTGCAGAAAAACTCGTCGGAACGGCGATGAAGAGGAAAAAGGGCTTATCGCTAATGAAGCGAAACGCCTTCTTCGCCATCGAGCACGGCCACTGTCTTGTAAGAAGTCTCGGTACAGCGGCCGTCGTGTAACGAGTTTTGTAACAGCGAATCGAATCGAACCTGCTCGCATCAAAGGGCCCCGTAAAAATCGAAGACCTTCGTATTGACGGTAGCGCGGTGCCCCGCTGGTCGCGTTAATTGAACGCATTTACGGCGAAATTGCGGGATTGATTTCGTTGCACCTTCCGCGGACCGGATCTCGAATTATTTTATAGCTGTACACGGTGGTTTGGAAAAAGCGTGTACGAATTCAGTACCAGATAGAAATTCGAAAATCTGTTCCATCCCAAGATTTTTATCATAATAATTTAAAATGAGTAAATTTTCATAATTAATCGTTTTTCCCATCTCTAGCATGGGAACAAAATTTATATGTTTAAAGTAAAAATGTTCTTTTAATTAAAAAAAAATATATATAATAAAGAGTGTCAATTTATCCATATAAAATTTATACAATCTTTCACAGATAAAAGGCGCGCTTCTTAAATCTCTCGTCTTTTATTAATACTTGTTTTTCATATATAATTATTTTATAATATCTAATTTTTAATATAACATCTCTCTGTAAACAACTATGTCAGCAAATTCATTAATTAAATATAAATAAAAATAAATTTGTTTCGAAATCTAACATTGTATGAAATTGTAAAGTAATTATTTTGTAGATAATTCATAAAATGTATATTGGCGTAATATCTAAATCTTTCTCTCTCTTTAAAATATATGTTAATTCGTCTTTCTAATTTTTAACTTGGCGACATTTACACATTTACTGCGTACAGACACAAAGAATAATGTATATGAATTTAAGAGGCGCGTCTTTTGTCCGTGAAACGACGTCTCCACTTGCGCCGATGCCATTAAGGTGGATTAAGGCCGGCGTGGCTAATAAATAAAATATAATAAGAATAATAGTGGCAATTTCGCCGACGGCAGCCACCCTGGAGGAAGTCAGGTATTATAGTGCAGCGTAATGCAATCCGAGTATTTGAATACCTAATAGTTTTCAATGCATACATTAAGCCTTAAACGCCTATTACCCTGACGGCGTTGTCCTATAGCGTCCCTGAATGCTAATTTTAACTGAGCCAAATTTGAAGCCGATGTACAATACATACAATACGTTCGTATGCCCTCATTGCATGTCTGCGTGTACGCAACATTAAATCCTGGCAAATAAAACGAGGTTCGTATATCGTGACGACGGAAGTTTTTAATACGCCGCTTCTATACGCCTCGCGCGTCTCCGCTTTTCAAAATTTCTCCGCGTTTTACGTTATTAATGCAATCTCATTACTTGAAGAAAGTCACCGATTCTTGGCAAAGAAACGCGAGTCTCTTGTCATTCTTTCCGGAATAACAATGTGAACTATTTATTTTTCCCGCTATTTACTCGAGAAAACTCGTTTCACTATTCACGTTTTCTGCTGTTTGTTACTTTTCTTTTTTTTCTTATTAGCATGCGATCATTTATTCCGCGTAATGCCCGTGTCATTTAACTTCTGAATATTCAGCTTAAACGCGAGGAACTTTAAATGATAGCGGGAAGAGCCGGAAATTAAGTCGGAAGACGGTGGAAGGCTGCGATTACGAAAGAGAGGTATTGAGAGCGAGAGGACGAGCGAACTAATTTGCCGCGTTTGAATCAGTCTATAAAGACTGTGATCGCGCCTTCTCTGGCGCGAAAGGAGAATTCTAAGTCCTCGATATGAGTCGTGTAATCCTTCGTAATGAACCTCTCAAGATCGTCAGGCAACGCTTCAAATATTTATCCGGGCGAAACGTCGTTCTCGCGCCCTCCTACCTCTTAATAGCAGCTCGCCATTCCTAGTAGTTTCAAGACATTATTCGAAAACGTTAAGCCGTCGCGCAGCTGCTCCCGGGAGCTTTAAGAAGCGGAATTTGTTGCCGTCTCTAAGAAAGTTCTCAACTTTCCTCCGCATTACGTATGTAATTGTGATTTTTTAAATTTAGGTTAAAGCATTTTGTTGCAACAAATATTTTGTATGCGTTAGATTAAATAAAATAAGTGACTTTGCTGCATAATTGTAAAATGCAGCATGTAATTCGTATTTGCAATTTGGCATTAACAGTTTAAGTAACATATGCAATATATTCTTCTGCGACTATGCGCACATATAATTAATAAATATAAAAGTATAATTTGCGTAGCATTTTATACCTTAAACTCGCATCTTGTTACGCATTTGACGATATATTTAGCAATATAATTATACGAATTTTTCACATGATCTGCATGGTAGTTGAATAAAATCAAAGCACTGCATTTAGTGCTAAACGTGATATGCAAATATGAAATAATATTGGCAATTTGATGTGAAAAAATACTACTTACCGTGTCGCTAATGTCCGTGTCTGTCCTTGTCCTACGATTCATCCCGATGAGATTTACATAGTTCACGTCTCGTGGCAACTTTCCTGAGTCCCTCTATAATCGCAGATTCACCAAAATTACTTTCAGAACCGGCGTATGGTGCTTAATTTCCTGTCCGTGGTAAATGAATGAACTGGTCTCAAGCTCTATAAAAGATTTAAAAACTTAGGTTATGATCCCTCGTCGCGACAAATATTTTGTACGCTTTTTATCAAAAAAGAAACAAAAGTAATAAATTATACTGCATAATCATGTGAAACTTTACAATGCAATTACGTAACATACGTACGATTCGATTGTAATTTAATTGACGATCTAAATAATAACATATGCAAATATATTTTGAAGAATTTAAATACAATACAACGCGTTAATTATAATTGGCCGAGATAATCTATCTCCTTTCAGAAGAAAATAACGAAACAAGCTTTGCATAGCGTTTAATTTTCGAACTTGCATCGTATTTCACACTTGATGATATGTTGATGATGATATGCAATTTCCATATATAGTAGTTGGCGAACATGATCTATTGTAACGACAAGAATTCTGGGTTATGTTTAGTACCGAAGATGATATGCAAGTACGAAACAACAATAAGTTTTGAAGGAATGCTTACCATGCTGATTCGCGCTATTCGCGCGATATCATTCTGATAGAATTAACGTTGTTCCCGTCATAGTAGCTGGTCTAAATTCTTCTGCGATCACGGGCTCATTAAAATTATTTTCCAAATCGACCGTTGTATTTCACTTTTTGACCGTGGTAAATGGTAAACTGCGTCATTCTCTGCTAGAGATTTTAGTTTACTACGCGTGCGGCAGATGGCGCTAGCTGCATCGTTACCACGGGCAGCGATAAGTCCGGCGTGAAATTGCCGGTGACTTTAAGCTTCTGCACACAGGACATATCAACGCATGACATAGTGGTGAGAAATGACAATAGCCAATCAGATACCATCTTAGAAGAAGATTGGTATCACTTGTTACGTGTATTCCGATTTATGTGTAGAGCCCTTCGGTTAATCTGGAACGCGCATTTCCCGCGCAAAAAAGTCGGCCGTTTCGCATTTTCTCTCCGCGACTCGTTCGTTCAACCACATTATGTGAATCGTATAGTGTGACGCGAGTTGTGACGCGAGTTGTGACGCGAGTTGTGACGCGAGTGTGCTCGAGATCACGAAATTGTGACATTTGGAAATCGATCGGTGTGTGTGTTCACCGCTCAAGGAAATATTCTCATCGAGGAATCCCTCGCATCGCCGGTACGTAAACATGTTTATATGCTTAGTATCACAGTAATGGCGTTGTCAAAAAAACTGTGAATTGTTTTCAGGTGATCTGCTTTAGTTATGCTGTGTTCAAAGGAGAGATATACATTTATCCGTATTATGCTACGATGTTGTTAGATTTCGCAGTCCAATTGACGAAAATTCACTGTCGCGGTTTTAACCATGTTGAATCTAGATTCGCCTTAGTTCTTCGGATCGCTATTTGTTTCACGCAAGTATCATATTTATTGACGTACCCTTGACTCGACTAATTTAGTACTAAGTAATTTTGATGAATAAATGCCTTTTGTTTATGATATCTATAAGAAAGTGAACGAAGACAAATAATTTAAATTAAATGAAAAATTTAATTAATCGTAACATTACTCGAAATGCATCTGGTTGTATTTTCTGGAAGACATTGCTTTTTAATTATGTGATTTTATCATGATTGCTGTTTTAACAGTACATTCGAATACGTGTGTGTGTGATGAAGGCTGATTTGAGAAAGTCTGACGAGAATAATACGTAGGTAGTGACATAACATACTTAAATTGTATCAATTATCTGTGGAATATTAAGCGCGACGATCGTGATTAAATTTGATTGAGGCTTGAGTGACGATCGCGCATTTAACCTAATTAACTTCGATATAATCAGCACCGGCGTGCGAGCGAATCGTACGAACTTTGTGACAGAAGCTGCCGCATCGTGTTAAATCCTACGAAAAGTTTGCTGTGCATGCTGAACAACAGGATGGTGAGTACTTTAGTAATGTTATAAAAACAATGAAAATACATCAAGCTATATTGCTTGAAATAATTAACAAGTAACATATTTCAAAACATTGAAAATTTTTATGGTTATTACGATATTATAGTTTCTCTTACAATATATTTATTGAAATTGATTTATGAATTAATTGATAAATAAGTTGATTATAAAGTAAAGTAAAAGATTTTTGTTTATTTTCTCTAATTTTCAATATTTGTGCTTAAACATAAATAACTAAAACACTGAATATCTCATATATTTGATTATAGAAAACAATTAATTAGTTAAGTAAACTTATTGAAAATATCATGGATTAAGTTTTAAATTGAGTGTTTGAAGAACATATTACAAACATTTATTAATAATAACAAATATCTTAATTGGAATTGCAAATTTTACTTGAAACAATAGTATTTTTATATACACTGACAAAAATGTATTTTTATATTGCAAGATGCGCATAGTATAACATTATTTTGAAACATTACATTTCAAATATGTATAATAGAATTATTTTACAGTATGTATTACTTTCTTATGTACTTAAAGTTTAAAGAATGGACTCTTTCTCCTCTTAATTAATGAATTCTCATCAAAATGATGTTATACAGCGAATATCAATATATTATATCATACATTACATCATCGCGAGGAAAGGGTTAAGCGTTGCAGTATCATATAACGCTTTTCTATATTTTTTCCGCGTTGCATTACGTCGAAATTTTTTGTCTTCGCACATATACAAACGAATCTCACTATCCTTGTCGAATTCCCTCCATTCGTGCGCGCACCGCAGCGCGATAATTAATAATGGTCGGTGAAGCTTTTGTACACAAACGAGTTTTCGAGAGACCCTCGTGAAAGAGCATAATAGCAGAGTGACCATACGAAAAAATGAGAGCTGAAGATCACCACTGAGATCTGACCCGAGATAGCGCGAAGCGCAGGCCTTATGTATTCGAGCGTGCCATAGGAGCGGGTATATCTCTACCTAAAACACGTGCCCAGAAAATATTTAAACCAGTTTCCACTACATTCACTATGTCTTTTCTTCCTTCCTGGAAAAGATATGAAGTAGCGGATTAATCATTGTCGTTGACAGTTTCGCGAACATCTTAAATGAAGAAAATTATGCAATTTTTAATCTTTTCCTCGTTATATGATGAAACAATTGCTTATTATTGATTGAATTATATTTATGATGTTTTATTGTGATTATTTTTATGGTGATTTGATTTGATTTTTATTATATTTTATAATATGATGATTGTTTATGATTTATTATGATTATTTTTATCTATTTACACAGTTTGATGATTTATATCTGATTATTTTGATTTATCAACGAAATAACGTTATATTATGAAAATTATATTATTTTATCATAATATGATTTTTTCATATCATGATCTATTTCAAACACATGTTAAAGATGACCTGATTTAAAATTTTAGCAAAATATTTTGCTGTATTTTTGATAGTGCATAAATTACACACAGCGAGTTTATATCTATTTATCACAGACAACTTTAAAAATACGAATATTCCAACAATGAAACAAATTAAAAGTATCGTATAATGCGTGAATCTTTGTCAGGAATCTTATAGTCACGAGCTATAAAGAAATACTTAATTAGAATTAATTTGGGTGGGACGTTAAATCTAGGCAAGTGAGCTCGTCGAACAAGAATAACCCGACCGGCTCTGATTAGTCTTAATGTGTTAATTAGAGAAAATTGCCGTCTGGCTGCTTTCTCGCGTTCTTCCTTTCTTCGTCGCGGTCCTCGGTGTTGCCAAAGTCGATGGATAGGACGGCATCGCGGTGGAATCGCGATAGGGGAACGTTTGGAGGAACGTGGGGGGATAGAAGCGGCAAAGTGGAGAGGGTAGAGTTTACCGAGTATCATATTTTACCGGGCATCGGCGTAGCGACGGGCACGCACACGTACCCGTTTCCACGCACACGCGGCCACCCGTCGGATCATTAATCACTATTATCTCGAGGTAATTTTTCTTCGATATAATTTCGTCTGTTTACCCCCGCGAGTTGGCGCGCGAGCCTGCACACCACGCGGAGAGCCGGACGTGGGGCACCGTTTCGAAGAGAGTGGCGCCGGTTCCTCTCTCCTATTCTCCTCTCTTCCAACGCCGTTTTCTTCGTCGTGGTCTTCTTCTTCTTCTTCTTCTTCTACTACTTCTTCACGGTTCGTGAACTCACGGTGTCGACTTTGTGTGTACATATGCCTGCAGCTTCGTTAGCCTCGGTTCGCGTTTCTCCACATCGACGACTGTCACGTTTCATGAACTCTTTTGTCCTTAAGGACGTCATGATCTCAAGACTTGCTTGTTGTTAGAGCAAAACTTGTAATTTCGCACTACCGTTTTCTATATTGTCATCGGCGCGGCACATATTTCATTAAATCTTTTAAGCGTGTAAAGATCATCCAGTTAAAATACACATTCTGAAGTGTCAATAAATACACATCATGCAAATTTATTGTAATTAGCAAGAAATATTGCTAGCAATCGATTTACATAATTCTTGTCTCACGTATTACACGCGACTGATTAATTAATTATGTATTTTGTAATAAAGTATTGCTGTGAGATATACAGCTATAAAATTTGCGTAAGATTCCAACACGACACACTTTTATCCGACAATCGCAATCATTTTTTTTTTTCTCTATTGATCCGTGAAATAATACATTCCTCTTGCCATTAAGCAAACGAGGTAGATATTCAAAGTAGTTGATATAATCAACGATCGACATCGTCGTGTCATAAAAGTCGATTAATAAGGCAGATGGAAATAATTGTGCGTAGGTCGACTATTAGGAATTCACATCACCTTCAAGCAGTTCTATTAATCATTGGATAAATTAGACGGCTACAAAATCTCGATGATCCTGCCTTCAATATCGCATAGATCGTGAAAATATTGAAATTAATAACTTTTGATGCGTGCAGCTAGTCGAAAGATTCTTGTAATGCAAATTTTTTTTAACTTTAATAATTAAATAAAGCAAATTGCTTTTATATAATTTTTACAATTTATTAGTGAAGTAAACTTGGAAAATAATTGATTTTGTTATTATTTCATAAATGATTATTTTTAAAGAATCTTGAATTTTTTTCTTAAAACTATTTGTAAGTTCTTTGTGATTAATCAGAGAAGCATAGAACTAACGCGAAATTATTATTGTAGTTACAATATTGTGTGCAGAATATTATGCGTTATAACTTTTGTTGTTTTAAATGTTGTTAGAATATTTCAAAATGTTTTGACTATTTAGAAAATTAATAATGAATTATTAACATTATATTGACTATGTAATTAAGCAGATCGGTTATTCTTATCAACGGACATTGTTATTTCACTAGGCCTTGAAGTCTTTTTCGCAGAAGTATCGACAGCAGTTTTTCAGGATTTTACGGAAAAAGATCGTGGAAATGGATAGAGAGTAAGAGAAGTAGCAAAAATCCACTCGAAGGTACTCGAGACTCGCGACGCCATTTCCGCTCGTTTCTTTTCGTGTCTCCTTGGCGTTAAAACACTAATTCTTATCCAACCACTCATAAGACAAACAGCTATTTACACAGTTAATGCGAGTACTTGTACGCATACTTACCCCGGAGAAAGAAAGGGAGATAACTTTGCGCCACGGTCGACCTATTGCCGTCTGTGCTATTTTAACATTGTTTGCCTCGGGGAA